AGCCAGTGTGAATGAAAGGTTACTGTAAAGAAGTCCAGACAGGATTGTCAATCGAAATCAAGATGAACTGCAGCCCAATTGTTTAGCAGGATTGTATCTTTTTTTGGGACATGAATAGAATAATCTGCCGCACATCTGGAGCCAAATTAATGGTTCAAGGGTTTGAAACATACAACTTCTTAATTAGCTGGAAGTGGTGTAGAAAGAGTTTTCACTCAGAAATTGCTACATTTCAAATTTTAAAAGTAACACTAAATGAAATGTGAAATTCTGAAGTAGAAAGACTGAAATAGTATTTTCTTGTTTACAAATTTGTAAAATCAGTGTATCATTCCCTTTAAATCCACTATTACATACTATACTAGTGCTCAAAAAGTGAATGGAGCATATGTTTCCCATGTTGCTAATGCACAGCTCATTAGGAGTTTGTATACCTGGCCTTGGGCTGTGTTTAAATAATGTCTCTCCAGTTGGATACAGTATCATGAATGCACAGTCCAAAGCCATTTCAGCTAACGCAAGCATCTAGATCGTGTGAATGAAAGAGTGGCTCTTGGTGTTTGATTTGTAATCATTCCTCTCGTTAGTTTCCTATGTTCTCAGGCAACATGTGAATGTAAAGATGTTAGTGTTTGTTTGGGAATGTGGAGGGTTTGACCTTAAGGTCGGATGTTAGCTAATAGATGACATCATTATCTATACCAACAATTCTTGGGGTGAACTGGGAGAGGAAACGAGAGTGAATGGTGAAAAAGAAAGGAAACTGTGTGCTTTTCTTCAAGTCTCATGTTTGTGTTTGTGTCTCCAGAGTGTGGACAGGATTGGACAGGTTTGTCATATTGTTGCCCTGGGGGCTTGGGTTTGTGGAGATGTGTCAGCACAATGTGTGTGTGTTGAGGAAAGCCTGCGGTTTACAAAAGAGTAGAGGAAGATGAGGTCAGACAGAAGATTCGTCCATCACCTCAAACTATGCCAACAAAAAAGTTTTGAGCAATTTACAGTCTGTAAACACCCCCCCCAATCCTAACTTAAAGGGATAATTCAATTTAAAAAGGAAACGGTTTTGTTTATTTGCTCAATTTTGTTCAAGTCGTTTCTCAACTACATGATTTTCAGTGGAACTCAATAGGTGAATTCTCTTTTCAACATCAAAGATCAGATCAAAATTAAGTTATTGTTCATTGGCTAGCTCTCCTTGTAGGAGTTTATGAGAGAAGTATGCTTTTTAGCCACTCTTTTCAATTAAATGTAAAAGTGCATGAGGGCTGTCAAGCTTCAAAATGTCAAAAAGCAATACAATTGGTGCATATGACATAAGACACTATATTGCAAGTCTTCTGAAGTCATACAAAATCTTGATGTGATGAACAAACCAAAATTAAGCTGTTTTTCATTGCTTAGCTCTCCTAATAGGAATTCACAAGTTCATGAGAATAGTGAGTTGGATCATTTCAATGAATAAGTCAATCCAGTTCCCAAAACAGATCTCTGACTGATTTGTTCATTAATCAAACTCAAATTCTAACTCACTGACTCAATGATTTTCTTGTAGTAACAGTTACCAGCCACAGGGTGGGAAGCTTATCAGCAAACAATGACTGAAGACTTGGTATAAGTGTGCAAATCATATAGACAACTTATGATATTTTTGTATCTTTTTGCATGCTCATTTATATGCATTTTACATGAAAAGAAAGACCAATACATATTTTAAAAGTCCTCTATGCTGGAAGAAAAAAATAGTAATATGGGTTTGTAACAACATGAGGCTGAGTCAGTGATTACATTTTTATTTTAGGAAGAACTGTTCCATTAACAACCATTTCCACATTGGAAATAATGTTCCATTAAGACACATAAGAGCCTACCGACATAAGTGCCTGTCATGGGATGGTAATTTCCAGCCCAGATGATGGGCCAGGCTTTGTACAGCAAGGGAAAGTCTGGCCATGCTGTGAGCTGGCAAGATACGCGCAGCGTGGGTCCTACTGTCACGCCGTCAGGTGCTTTGAAACCTGGCCCGAAGTCCTCAAAACCCTGGCTGACCGCCTCACCTGTTCAAGCAGTTTACAACACACATTTGCTGCTTAAGCTCATGAAGTGGAAAATGACTGTTTACATAGTCAAGTCTGACGTAAATCATTTTAACACTGGCACATTCGTTGTTGATTTGTTTAACGCGAGTAAATTGGTTTAATTCAGAGCTAAAATCAGCAAGTAAACAAGCAACCGCAATAATGCTGCCAACATGGGAACACAAGCTTTACTCTCACCTTGTAAATAACTGGAAATACAATGGGGACCGGTGTTTAGGGACCTTTAAAATGGACTTGGAGTTTTACTTTAAATCCCTCTGAATCCATTCCCTGCACATGTGGGTCACTACTCATTTTTAGAGCATCCCTAATTGTGTCGCTTTTACCCATGTAATGGCACAACATTAGAGGCTAAAAACTGTGAGTCATCTACGGATTAAACCGTAGACCCAGCTGAGGCGGCGAAAGTGCACTTCATCTGTCTCTGATAGCCTATCGAAAAATCACGCTACTCTGCTTCCCCCCTTTTCAAACCAGCTAATATGGCTTCATTTGGCCGCTGTCCTGCGGCACACGCACAGGAATGAGGTCATGAGCGTAAAGACGGATGCTCTAATCTGGTGCCTAGCCTTCGCCATCTGCTGCAGTCAGATGGTAGGTCACTGCAGGGCCCACGTGTGTGCTTTAATCCACAGCGTTCACGTACGCTCAGTGAGGTGGAGACCCACTATACCTCTGTTTCGTCAACAAATCTGCAAGAGGGAAGCATCTTGCTGAGTTAAAGATTGAGGATGGCACAAAACATCACAACTGAAACTTTAGATCTCACATTATGAAGCTGTAACGATGACAAATAGATTTGAATTGTGTAAATTTGACATTTAACAAATTAAGTTTTTTTGTGGCATATTTATACATATATCGTATTATAGTATTACTTTATAAATATAAGCATTACTTCAGTCTTCAGTGTCACATGACCCTTCAGAAATCATTCTAATATGCTGATTTTGTGCTCAAGAAACATTTCTTATTATTATCATCACGGTATGATTAAAATGTTGATAGAAACAGTGTTACTTTTTTTCAGGATTTTTTGATGAAATGATTTATTTAAAATAGAATTCCTTTTAACAATGTAAACATCTTACTGTCATTTTTGGTCAATTTAATGCATCCTTGATTATTTGCTGAATTTTTGGTTCTGAATTTTTAAAGGTGAAATTAGCTGTAATTTTTTCAAGTATAAAATTACAGCCTCAAGTTTTTCAGATATAATAAATTCAAAATTTCACAAAAAAAAATTTAATTTAATGAAATGTCTAAAATTCAAGTTTACTAAGTTGTTTTCTAATATCCTGCTCAGTACTACCTCAGCAAAATGCTTGGCTTAAATTTGTGGTTTGTACAGAAAAAGTGTGCTTTCATACATTGCCAGCGTGACTTTTTTTTTGCTCAGATGTGATAACGAATGCCTTGTGATTTGGAGATCAAATAATGGAGTCAATTAAACATTCCTCTGATCACTCACGCCATTCTGTGCAGATGGAGCGGCAGGTTTTGAGTTCATGCGGTAGAGAAATGAAAGAGACATGCTCACAGCCCTGTGCGGTTGATACAAATCTCTGTATCTCATCTTAACTCGCTCCTCTCTGAAGTATCTCCCTCATCACGTTGTGATAAAAGGTCATAGAGGTATCTTATATCGGTAGTACGAACAACATCAATACATGGCTATGGGTCTCAGAGTGGTCTTTAAAGACTAATACATGTTGGATACACTGCTTTCAGTCTGGCTTTCGTCATATAAAGGCACAACCTTGAGTCTGTACACAATATAGCGATGGAAAAAAGTGTGTGCTTGCAGAACCAAACTCATATAGACAGGAGCAAGCTAATCATGTTGTATGCTTGAAAAAAATGTGGCATTCATTTTGCCACCAAAACTCAGCCTCATTTTGTGGTCCACGGCTGAGTGTAAGGTACATGCTCCGATAAGACAACCAGGCAGTTCTCGTACCTAAGAGATAGGATCCTAATCTCTAAATGGATTGTGGGTAAATGAATTACTTTAGCTTCCACAGAGAGCGTGGCAAGCTGAGTGAATAATGAACCACCCAGAAATCCTTGACGGGATTTAACACCTCCTAGCATCCTGCCGTACATTTGGGAAGCGCCCTTGAAAAGAAGGCTCTGAAGCATCTGTTTGGTGACACTCACGACTTCATCAAAGAGGAAACGGGACCTCTGCGTGCTCTGGGTGGGTAGTAATCCACCAGGATCTGCATGGTGTCAAAAGGTCAGACTGCCCTGTTTTAGACATTCCAGTTGGCACAGTATCGCTTCCAGTTGTGTGCGTGTGCGGTGCCCCGAAGGCCATGAGAAAGAGCCTGAACGCTGAGGCAGGTGGAAGGATTGACCAAGAAAGAGCTCAGCACCAATTACTTGGTGACAACTGGCCAGGATTAGGCCTTGTTGTGTGGGGTGACCTCTGACCTTTGAGTGTTCGCCTGGTGATGAAAACTCTTAACCTGCACTTCCCAAGACATGAGAGGCGGCTGTTCTTTAAAGAACTCGCTGACCTGATTAAGCTGGGGAAACGGGACAAGCATTCGACAGTTTATAGCTGGGTTTCCATCCACACAGTTTAAGGCAAATTTTATGGGGATACCACATAAAAAAGTATCGCTTGAAAAACCTTTTGAAGCACCTTTATTTTTAAGAGTGTAAAGCACAACCCAAAATGTTCTGCTACTCATTTGCTCACAGATTTTAATCGTTTAATGATTTATGTAATGCCTGGTTAGAATAAGGTGCAATTGGATGGGATTTTTCCATCCATTTTAATCCTCCATGAAAAAACAAAGCCAAAGAATTAGCCACCAATTAGAGATTGGATAGTGGTATTTGTATGGAAATACAGTAAAATCATTTGCACAATATAAAACTGGCAATCAGGCTTACCTTATCAGAGTAGACGAAGAAAAGAATGAGCAAAATCAGCTCAGCCAGCAGAATAATCAGCAAGACAATGAAGAACTGCAGGAAGAAAATACACAAAAAAAGGAAGTGAGTGATACTACAGAGAAAGAAAGACAAAGGGAAAGACTTGTCTGAATGAATCATCTCAGCTTTCTACACTCACTTTCTCCATCTCATTCTATTTCACTTCTTCAGCTAAATATTTACACAGCCTTCCACACAGCATGTGCCTATCAGCCAGTAAACATTATTTCGCTGAGTGCTCAGTACATTTTCCAGTCATCTCCTGATGACCGTTCCTGTCAAAGTCCATCTGAAACGCAGATTCAGCCCATCTGAAAGCCTTTAAGACGCTTGTTTATTGAACCTCGACATTGACAGGTTCGCAAAATAAGTTCCCTTCCGCCATTAGAGGAGGGTGAGAGCGATTGTGTTGACTACGTGTGGCCTCGCCAGCCGCTGAATGACAATATGTGTACATGTCTGCTCTGCCTCGACTTTACTCGCTGGTCTGGGCACATAAATAGAGCAAAGTTGAAGGAATGGATGTGGAGACTGCAAAAGCTTTGAAGGTTCTTCCTTCCTTGACCTCTGGGGGAAGAGAGCGCTACACCACATCCAGAAACATAGGGCTGGATGCTTAGATCTCAAACCCAGTGACGTGAAAACCCTTCTCTGATGTCTCCCTCTCCCTCAGAGCCATGGACACGCCGTATATACAGGCATATATTTTAGCGAAATCTAAAGTTCAGGCCATTCGAATTTACACCGCTCCTATCTAAGAGGCATTTAGGGAACCGTAGGAACTGGAGATTGACATTAAAAATTAATAAGGAGTGATGGTGATGATGATTCTGGGTTTGACTGGATTTGTGAATGCTTCGAACGTCTCTTCCTTTACTTGAACTGAACGTAACATGTTTTTTTTTTGTAAATTACATTAAATAAAATAATCAAAATGATGCTTGTTTGGAATCACATGGCAAGTCCACAAGCGGATAGTGCAGTATTTAATAATCGCTTACCAGAACAAAACAATATGATGTGACGGATGCATTATTCACTCCTGTATATGAAAGAAAAGTATGCGAGTGACAACCTTTTTCAATTAGACTGTGTTTAACACCATTAGCTGAATGATTGGTGGTGGTGGGGGAGAGAAAGTAAAAATGAGTGTAAAATCAAAGCGAGATTGGCAGTCAAAGGGGGGAAATAGAGAGGCATGTGGTTTAACTCTAGCTCTGAACCAAAACCCTTGAGTGCAATGAAGAGACTAATTTTGCAATGCAGATAATTAGCAAACCTCTCTGGTAACAGTTTACTTTAAGCCTTTATGTATAATGCATTATAAAAGATATCCATAAGGCCACTTCACATCCTGACAGGGCTTATTTTGGGATAATGACTGGCCAGCTGTACATTATCCCACTTTTTACACAGCTACTCACTAAATAAATAAATGAAAAGACATGAAATGTTAATTTGGTTGAAATGATTGTTTTATGTGAGAAGAAAGAGACTGCAGACCAATATGTGAGCCATGAAACTAGCACAGTGATGTAGGCAACTGTAAATTGACTGGAAAAACAGTTGATTATACATTTTGTAAAAATAGTTGCATACTGTGTACAGTGCTGCGATTGACCAATCAGAATCAAGTATTTCTGAGTCGTGTAAATAATACCTTATAGTTTTTATATTTAATTTAAATCTTATATCTTTTTATAAATACATGAAAAGTAATAAATACATATGCATGGTTACACCTTTAAATATCATGAAATGTAATGCTACTTATGGTGCTTTTACTTTGGCTCTGTTTGCTTTTCCACTGCAGTTTAGTACCGCTTCAAAGTGGGTGGGATTATAGACTGTTCGTTATAGTTGCTCCGCCACCTGTCTACTGACCACGATACAGCCTTTTCTTTTTTCAAGTTGTGTGCGACGGTCATTTAAAGCAAGTCGTTTGTGCGAACAAATGATGCTCTGGTGGCTGTTGCTGACTATTTAAATCTAGCGGGTTTGGTGTCTCCCGTCGCAAATCCAATGACACTGGAAGTGACGATTCTCTCTGACCAATCAGTGATCTGCATTGTTCACACATCACATTTTAGGAGCGTAAAAGTGTGTAGGTGTGGCATAACTTACGCTCAGAAGCAGGCACTTGTTTTCCTTGATGGCGCCCAGGCAACCGAGGAAGCCCGTCACCATGACGATGGCGCCTATGGCTATGACCATGTTGGCAGCGGAGAGAGAGGGGAAGGAGGGGGAGAAGGTGGCGAAGCTGCCTTGAGACACAGACAGCCAGATTCCAACTCCCAGCAGCCCACAGCCACACAACTGCAGAGAGAAGCAACAGATTATGAGATATTAATGCATTCTGGAACATCGATTCAGAGCGAAAGCTGTTCGGAAAAACAACATTTAATATGCACCACAAATACTAACTTAAATATAGCTTTCCATTGCATGTAGACATAAACAAAAAAGCATGACGTGCTGCTGACTCAAACTCTCTGTAAAGTCTGCAGAGGCCCAATGGAAAAAAAAGTTAAAGACAATCAGCTAAATCAGGGGTCTCCAACCTTTTTGAAAATATTCTCGCGGACCAGCTGGAGGGGGGT